GGTCCGGTCATCACCACCCCTCCCCCTCTGTGTCTGGCCATCGCTACCCCCACCTCCGCTCTGCCAGAAGTGGTACACGCCTTAAAAAAGGTTGAAAATCCCCGATCTAATCATTGCACGCATCACTTAGGTAACAACAAAGCACAGTCCAAACTGCATGTTCTGATAAATGGTGCTTTAATGTTGCACAGAATGTAGTAATTATGTGTCCTGTATTTAATATCTGTGAAAATTTAAAAACATATCTTAGAGGGAACAATGGTGCTCTGTAACTTTCAACTCTGAAAGCATCTATGGGGGTATGGCAGTACGACTGCCACCTATTCTAGGGAACATGACAGAGTTCGTATTGTGCTGTATAATACAGGGAGCTAAATTCAGTTCTACAGTAATTGATTTCCTTCCATGACAAGTATGTAATTACACAGTGTTTTTGTGGTCATCCATGTTCCATTGCTGGTGGTAACACTTAGCATCTCATTAGCCTTTCATCTTCAAAGTCATTCTGAAATATTAATCTGTCCTTATAGTAGCCCTCCAAGGTAAGTAAAATGTTACAGGATACCAAAGTAGCTTGTCAGATTTAGCCCAAGATGTGCCAACTTAAAGTCAGGCACAAGGACCACACAGCTAGAATTTCTGTGTGGCAAAAATGGGATGCAGCCATACTCCAGGGTTTCTGTTGATGAAGTATAACTCCAGGATGAGGTGGGCTGACTGAGAAAGACGTGTGGCAGGCTTGATGCCTTATTTCATCACGTTCCCTCAGCTTCTTCTGTTGGGAAAGCTTCTGTGCAGCCTGGGCCTCAAACTAAAGCTGCCTCGTTTTGTCAGCAGAGCCTGGCCTCCATCACAGTGAGCACAATGGGAACAGGGCCTTGGCTAGTGCAGGGGGACATCAGTGTACTCCTAACTACTTTGGCTTCAGACTAGTTAAAGCCTTACTTCTTGGTGCTATGAGTAGTGATGGTCTTGGATATCTGCGTTAGAAAGTCTGTTCTTTCTCTGTAGGAGCCAGAGCCTGAAACTGAAGCAGTAAGTTCAAGCCAGGAAATTCCCACAATGCCTCAGCCCATTGAAAAGGTTTCAGTCTCAACACAGACCAAGAAGTTAAGTGCCTCTTCTCCAAAAATGCTGCATCGGAGCACCCAGACCAATAATGATGGAGTGTGTCAAAACATGTGCCATGACAAATACACCAAAATCTTCAATGACTTCAAAGACAGGATGAAGGCTGATCACAAGAGAGAGACTGAGAGAGTTGTGAGGGAGGCAGTAGAAAAGGTAATGCTGACCTCAAGTGACCCAGATCATATATACATGGTTTGTGGAGGGGGGAAATGTTGTTCAGTTCTTTCTATGCATTTACCATCTGCTCTTTAAAACTGATTTTTCCCTCTTTAAGTGAAACTTTAAAAATAGGCTTTGTAAAACTAAAAATTGGCTATTGTATCTTAGGGACTCCATACATAGTAAACATCTGTTTTTTCTAGCTTCCAGCCTTATGAATTCTGCCTGGGATTCAAAAGTGAAATTAGATTTGCCCATTATTGGTGGTCTCAGTAACACGTTTCCAAGTCCTTTGTGTCTAAATTATGCCTTCAGTCTTCACCTCCACATCTGTATTGTCCACATTGGGCCTGCTCAGGTTTAACTGACTCTTTAAGTGATACTGAATAAATTAATTCTTTTGTCACTGCTGTTCTTTGTTGAGCCTCAGACGTGTTGGGTTGCACTGAAACTTTAAACATTATCTTTCAGACTCGTCCACTCTGCGTTTTACATGTATATATACAGAAGCTCCTTTGAACTTTCCCGGTCTGTCCTTGCTCTAAATTTGTGCAAAGTTCTTGTTGTAAAAAATGAATAAGAAGAAAATGTTGGGTTTTTTCCATTGAAAACAGCATGACCAATCTAGAATAATTGACACAATACACACAGAACCCTATGGTGGTGTCTTACAGACAAGAGCTAATATGCAATTTCTGTTGTAATCCATGAATTTCAAAATAAATTGCTCAAGTGGCATGTTTTTATTAGTGGATTTAAATAATAGAATATATCCAAGTAGGATGCAATCTACTCCACTTGTTTGATGTCCATCTGAATCAGCAGTGGTATTTAGAGGTGATAAGAGAATGCGGGTTCCTATTGATATTCATCTATTAACTTCTTTTACACCAGCTACGTACAGAGATGGAGGAGGAAAAGAGGCAGGCTGTAAATAAAGCTGTAGCCAACATGCAAGGAGAGATGGACAGAAAATGTAAGCAGGTGAAGGAGAAGTGCAAAGAAGAGTTCTTAGAAGAAATTAAGAAGCTAGCAGGTCAGCACAAGCAACTGATCTCCCAGACCAAGAAGAAGCAGTGGGTAAGTGTCAAGGGTGTATTATCAACAAAAAACTAAAAATGTACACTACTGGCTGCAGGGGGCATCTAGGTATTTCCTTCATTACTGTTAACATCTCCATTTTCCTTGAGCTGCCAAATGTAAGCTTACTTCAGACTGTTCCCTCCTCTTTCCATTCTCTCACCTTTCCATCCTACTCACCAAATCTCTACTCCATGCTTTTATCTCCCACCTGAACTACTTCAGCCTTATGCCCGGGATACACTCAACATCTAAAATGTTGGTGCCAAATGAATATTGCAGGAGTTGCATCACTTGGAGCTGCTTCCCTATCTCTCCATTTTTTTCTGGAGAGTTGAAGCTCCTTGTCCTCGCTGTCCCAGCTCTACAAGAAGCAGCCAATACCTGTCTCTATTTGCATTCCCGTCCCAGTAATGCTAGCTTTTGTATTTCTTCAGCCTAACCCACTTAGGCATGTCTCATCATCTTTCCCTGCTGCCCTTTAGACATGGAAAGACTTTCCAAAATATGTTTTTCAGCCCTCTACCCACCCCACATTCATTCTTATAACCTGCATCTGGAGCATCACCTACAAAACTGAATTATCCTTTTTTAAAAAAATGCAACCATGGACCTAGCACACCACTTTGCTGAATGCCGCACACCTTGCCTGCCTTTGACTTAACACTTGCATGCATTATTTCTACACACTAAATTTCAGACAAAAGGTAAGTTAAATGTGACATTTAAGATTATAATAGCAGTCTGTGAAGTCTAAAAGGCTTGGCTTTAGATCAGATGCCCGTTTGTCTTGAACTTGCCAGAAATGCAAGGTAAAGAAATGTTTCACTGCCTCACCACAAGGTGGCACTCTCATCTTGGAGACTTAATGGTTGCCAGCACACACAGCTGTCGCTGTCAATCCAGGATTTTTTTTCTTCTATTGAAAATGGTTGTTTGTTTATGTTCAAAATCATTTGTAGTTCAAATAATAGTCCTGAGAGAAGAAAACAGTATCCATTAGAAAAGAGTAGAAAAATATCAAGGAAAGAAAGTAGGTCATTGCTTAACTTTCAAAGTTTGTTGGCTGTTTTTAAGGTGAATAAAGGACTTGAAGTACTACTGTTTCCACAGAGTTAGCTCATATATGATACGTAATACATGGGTGGTTGGGCTTCCAATGATGATGGTGCTCTACTGCTCCTACCTACCATTAGAGATCAGAGAAGCTCTTTCGATAAAGTTATTTTTTGGGAGGTGAATTTATGACAGGTGCAAACTTGCCCTTTTATTTTTCATATAGAAACTAAGACTTGCTTTGGTTTCTTCTGATTTATGTTTGTCACAATAATTTAATCAAGTGCGAAGTGGTGATTCATGCTCTGGTTCCATAGCATCATATCTTAATAGATGTGGGAAAACCCTGCCTCCAGAGGCAAGTTTAAATTTATTCCTTTTAGTTCCGTGGAGCACTTGAGAGTCGCATACACATCTGACAAATTGTACTTTATGTGAATAATTCCTATAGGCTGTTTATTACTCACATTTTTAGATGGGGTGGGGACCCTTATATGTGGTTTGATAAGTCTGGATGCTCAGCCTTATGCTGTTGGGATTGGTCCAAATATGCAACTCCCAAAATGATTTTTCCTCTACTGGTAATGATGTGTGTGTAACGATGCTTCTATTATACTCTTTTTTTTCTCTCCTACTACACACCCCCAAATATAATATGCACCTTGCTTTTGAAAGGCAGAGCTATTTACAGAGTTATAGCTGCATATATAGCAGGGGCAGAGCCTAATCTTTAGCTGACTCATCCTCCCTTTCCTACTTGACTAAAGTTGAATCCCTAGCTGCTGCTGAAGACTGGTCTCCCTGGATAGCTCTGTGATTTTGAAACGAGCTAAAGAGGCTGTGAAATAGAACAAGACCAGCTAGCGGACAGCAAACTTGCCCCCAAAAAGGTTAGCTTGATTAGTGGAACATGAAGACCATTAAAAGAGATACAATCATTAACACCTGTAGGGTGAAGAACAATGAGCCATTAAGGCAATTGATTCTGCCACTGCCTGAACATTAATGCCCGGTCTCCTGCGCTGTGGAGCAGGAGTGTAATCAGGATGCTTCCAACCCCAGTCAGAAAATCAGTTTCCCTGCTTAATACACTACTCCCCCCAATTTTGGGGGGGTTAGGGGTGAGGCTAGTTTTTGGAGAACGTGTTTGGTGTATGTGAGACACTATGGTAATAGTGATGCCCTCTCGCTGAAAATCTCATATAATTAAGACTAAATGGGTGCATCTAGTGATGAACAAGGGTGATGTAGCATCAGCAGGCACAAACGGTGATAGCAACTCTACTGTGCAGTGACATCAGAAACGACCGTGTGGTATGGGGATTTAAGCAAGTACTAAATGACTGCTCGGTAACAACTGTACATGTGTGGATGCACCCAGTGAGCTTTAGTGGGTTCCCTCTTTAATTAGAACCAGAGAACTCTGTTCTAATAAGGGGGAGCTTGTACTGTTATTTCCAATGACTTCATAGTTTTGTTAAGTCTAAAAGTCCCAATTCAGTTCTGGGGCCCATGGTGTACTGCACATGCACACAAGATGGCACAAGTCCAGCCCTGAGGGCCCTTCAATTTTGCTAATGGGTCACATTCTCTGGGGTTACATAAATGGTCATGACCCCATCTGCAACAGTTTCATTCATCTAAGTGCATGAGCATTTGAGCTTAATGTAACAAATGGGTGATTAACAATAGGACTGGAGAGAATGGGAGAACAAGGATAAATCAAAAGTTAATAGTCTGGAAAGTTGAAACCATAGTTTCTTCTTGTTTCATTGGAGTCTGTTTCTATTTCAACCTCTCCCTGCATGCTTATTTGTATCCTTTTAAGTATGCCTATTTCTATTTTTAACTCTCTCTCTGTTTTAATTAGGTTAACATATATTTTTACTTTAACTTGTGCCAGTATCTATTTTAAGGAAATGAACATTCCCCCCCGGAGTGTACTATACCAAGTGAAATGCACACAAAAACCACTTGCAGGATGCCAAAAAACAGCAAAAAGCAACAAGATGCAGACTTCAGATGCATATTTTGTCCCCTCTATCATGTTTGCTGACCCTTGCTCGGAGAATAATACAGAAGTTTTTCATCTAAGGTGTGTGGGGAGATGCACGTAAAGGGAACCACAGGATCTCCATCCACAGATCTAAGTTGTCCTTCCCTTTTAACTCTATTCATGTAGCTGATTGAGCAGCTATAAACCTGGTCTCTGGGCATGCTCCGTGCTGTGTAGAGAGATGCAGCTGTTCCATGTTCCTTTGCAGCGGATGCTTCTAATGCCTTCCAGAGCTCCTGGATAGCCAGCTTCAGAAAAGCCAGGAGCACGGCTCTAGAGGATACTCATTTGCAGATGCTGTTAGAAATCAACTTCCCTAAAACTGGTTATAAAAAGGAAAGGGGAAGGGTTCCATATGTGACTTCGGTTTTTCCTTTACAGCTGATGGATATAAAAGGTTTTGCCAGTACGAAGTCTTTTCTTGCATCTGCCTTTTAGGAGGCTGTAGGGCTTGTGAAAAAAATTGTTTCCAGCTTAATTCCTCATCTTATAAAAATATCATAAGCAGATAGGACATTGCTAAGACTGAAGGAAAGATTTCATAACAGTCTTCAGATACTTGAAGGGCAGTTGGAGAGAGGATGCAGATAGGCATTTTTCTGTGGCCCCAGGAGACGGGACTAAGAGCAATAGCCTTAAGCTGCAGCAGAGGAAATTTAGATTGGAGATTGAGGAACTTTCTGACTTGAGCAGGGGCTGGACCAAATGACTGGGTGAGGTCCCTTGCAGCCCGACTTTCCAATGAACCTGTAAAAGAACTCGCTGAGTTTTGCCCGCGGCTGTGACTTGTCAGCTGCCCGTACTGACTGTGCTGGATGACGACTCCTGCTCCCACTCTCACAAAGAGATATGTCTCTCTAGGTTTTCAAAAGTCCCCTCTGATTTCGGGCCCGCCAGATTCAGAATGTCCGACCTGAACTTGCCAGAACCTGATTGCCAGAGAAGAAGTTAAGCCCTTCCAGCTCCTCGGGTAACAGGGTGTGTTAAAAAGAAATGTTAATGCTTTTGAGGCACTCAGGATGGGGGCATATGAGGAAGACAGTGTTTCTTTTCTTTCCCTCCTATCGGCTCCTCAGTTTTATTCTCAATCTTCTGCCCTCTCAAGTTGTTTTTCTTTGTAGCTGCCAAGCAAATGGGGGAACTGGCAGCAGTCGACATCCTGCCATTGTAGGAACTCCTGTTGCAGTAAAATGCAGAGCACTGCCCTAACACTTGGCGAAAAAGAAATTGAGGGCACTTCCTTGCTGTTCACACCATCCTCAAGATTTCCTTTTCAGAAGCAAGTCCTTTGAACACCAAAGCTGTTTTCATCCTCCTTGAGGGGCTCAGGAAAGAGAACCAAGCTTCTAGATGCACTGTTGCACCGTGTTTTAAATTCTGTGTGTTGAGGACTGAGACTCCTTTATCTTATAGTAAGACACCTCTGGAGCTATCCTGTGCTTTATCCTGCGCACGAGAGAGACAAAACTAGATGAGTGAGGAAGATCAGTTGGGGTCCCTTGCCATGCAGGATCAGCGTATAGAGCACAGACTGAGGGTACTTAGGGTGATGGGAGCAGAATATTAATTAAAGATATCTGTCATCTTTCGGTATCTAGATGTGAATAAGAGCCATGGTGGGGATAATGGAAATGTCCTTTTACCAAACTGTAATTCTCTCTGCCCTTTCTCAGCTCCAGGCCCTATTCCTGGGCCCAGCCTGTTATTCAGAACAGGATAATCTGCATTGTTTCTTATCAGATAATAGGTGAGCAAATAGCACTTTTCCCCATGATTTGATGGTTGCAGTTTTCCCACTGAGAAGGGAACTCACTTATATAGGATGGTTCGGTTAGGGATGACCCTGTCTCAGGCAGAAGGCTGAACTAAATGACCCTCCGGAGGTCCCTTCCAGCCTATTTCTCTATGATTCTCTTAATTTCCCTCTCCTCCAGGGAGTCTAGACACTAGCTGTGAGACCTGTAAAAAATATCTCCAAACCCCATATGAACTGGCTAGTTTTTTCTGACATTTTGCACCCAGTCTCTCGTCTTGTTTGCACGAGTGTGTGTCTGGTTTAATGCTTGTATGATCACTTAATACCTCCGGTCATGATTAGGAGTTCATTGTATTATGTCCTATACAAGCCCAGAACAGAAAAGAGGATCCCTGTCCCAAAGAAATGGATTCTCCAGTATTCTCAGTGGGTGACTCTGGCTGCAAAGTACTGTCGACTAAATTGGAGTTGAGCTTTCCTAAAAATCCAGCTCTGCTATGGCAGGCAGGAGAGATATAGTGTAGACTAACTTTGTTACTTCACAGGCAGGGAAGTCTTCCATTGGAGGAAGGGGGGCAGCCCTTATTTAGCAGGTTTGAAAAATTCCATCCTTTATTTACTGCCACCTGCCCAAATGAAAGAGGAATTCCTGCTCAATGCCAATGGGACCAAGAACAGGTGAGAGAGCATTTGGGTTGGTCAGGATTGATACTGCAAGTGATAGTAATCCCATGCTGTTCATTCTCTTTGCAGTGCTACAACTGCGAAGAGGAGGCCATGTACCATTGCTGCTGGAATACTTCCTACTGCTCTATCAAGTGTC